AAGCATTGCAGATATTGCAACCATAGGAGACCCACATGGTAGGAAAGAGTGTATTTTTCCTAGCTCACCATATTTTTTGTGGAAACTTGACCCCCAATGTGACACCACATGCGCCTCATCTATCACCACTGACATACATAACTCACTTGCCAAATTCATGATTCCGCAATACTTGCTCAATGAATGGCCGACCAAGCAACATTTCAGGTGATATCATAATCACTTGCCATTTTCCTGCAACAATATCCTAACACACTCTAGTTTCAGCACTACTCTTATGATATATTGAAGCAAAGCAACAACTAAAATCTAGAATCTCTGGCCTACAACCCCCATGGCCGCTGTTGATTGTGGTTGACTCCAACTTGAACTCCTTCTGGAAAGTGTCCACCTACAAGTACGTGCATTAAATTGTTTTGCATATTCAAATTCAAGTGAATTATGTAAGCTCACCTGTTTATCATGTAAGGCTAGTAATGGTGATACCATCAAAGTAACTCGCCCTTTGCTGCTGGCATGTACATGGAGCTCTGCTGCTATTGCCATTTTTCCAGCTCCTGTTCCGGCATGAACCAGGACATCCTTTCCTTGTAGCTGGGCCGTTGTTGCTTCTACCTTAAAATCTCAAGGTTTGTCTTTCCATCCAAACTGGTCTTTCACAAGTGCTGATATATCTCCGATTTCTTCATCTGTCAGCCTTCTATTCTGTGGCAGTAGCAAGGGTGTTGTTTGTGGGTTAATGACCTGGTATTTGGCTTTTCTATATGTTCCTTCCACAGGCATTTGTTGTGTGGGATTCTCTGCAGTAAACTGTTGAGAATTAGATGCGGTCAGCCTTGGTATTGGCTTTGGTGGTAAATCTGTTAGCCTTGGGCAATTTTGCCATGCCTACTAGTATGCTCACCAAAGAGTACTTTGCACTTGCTTCTGGTGCTTGTTCATCTTCTGTTGACATAGTCTTAGTCCGCTGTTTCTTCACGTGACTAGCTATTGTGGCTAGCATTCAACTCTACCACAACTTTCACCACATCCAGCATGTGTAACAACAAAGAGTTTGTATACTCTGGCGCACAACTCAAACAAGCCGTAGTGAAGTGAGTAGGAGTGGTTACCCCTTAAGATAGGACAGAGTTAGTTGTGGGTAAACAACAGGAGGACTCGCTGAGGAGTCTCCTTGATCTATTGGGGTATATATACTACTACAGTTTGTTTGTATATGTGTACTATACAGTTGATGAAGGCAGTGGCTGATGCTGTCAGAGGGCACAGCCCGTGTGAACAGCTCCACTGCGTGAGAGACTTGTAGCTAAAATAAGAAAAAGGGCAGTGCAGCACGAGAAGGTGGAGTTTGAACAAAAAAAAAGTGCCTCATGGCACAGTGTGTGAAAACTACAGAAGAAAGTTAAAGAGGAGAATGAAATTTAAAGGTCCAAAAATTTTGCATCGTAACAGCATGCCTACTACAGGCTTTGTTGGATTCCCTAGGAGTTGGTCTTCATCATTACTTACACAATTTCCAGAAAGCCCCATTGACCTTCAAGCCTCCTCTATTTGGCTTTATTCTCTGCCACCATCATCTCCAGACAATTTGATTAATGACTTTGCTGAGGGGCCTTTTCTTTGTATCCCATCTAACCCTCTTTGATACAATGCCCCTCAGTCTTCACACCAGGACCCTATCATACATCAGCCTCAGCCTCCTATTTTGAATTTGTTGTACTAACATAATAACTGCATCAACCTGAGCACCCCTAATTGCCCTTGCTCCAACTTTTTGCCCACTCTGTCAAGTGATGGTCCAATATATAGTAGCCCAGTCAGAGGATCCAAGGCCGAGCGAGTTGCAACTCTACGGAAAAAGTCACTGCAAATGTGCAGCCAAACTGGCTGCACAGAGACTCAAGATTGAGAGGCAGCTCCCAAAAGAGCAGAGCAAGATATATGCCAAGCTCAGCAGTTGGGAGTTTTCCAAAGACATTTTGGAGAAACTCACACGGGCTGGATTCACAATAGGGGACTTGATTGCCTACATCTTTAATCCAAGTTCAGGTCAAGGCACTTATTGGTGGGATGGGTTCTTTCGAGTGAAAGGAGCAGCCACTCAAATACTGAATTTCTGGAGCTCAAACAGAAACAACCGGAGTAACCAAAGTGAAGTACGCACCTGGGCATTCAACTACATATGTAGTGCAGTCAAGAAAGAAGCTCACCACATTATGCAGACCAGATACCTGCAGAGCAATAAGAAGCATGTCAATGGGGATTATTTCCTCAATTTCAATCTCAAAGCAATGTATTTGCATCTACGACAGAGTGCCAAAATAGCCTCTAATGTGTTTGAGGCTTTCACAACATCGTCTAAACAAAAGAGGGGTGTGACACCTACCAAGCAAGCAAAAAAAGATGTAGTAAGCCACTTGATACTGCTAAGTGATGAAACTTATCTGCAACAGGTGCTATCATCTATGATGTTACAAGCGCTTGGCAAGTACAGCCAAGATAATAACATTCTCAAAAAAGTCATGGGCTTGTATTTCTATGCTACAGGAGTACAGTGCCAGGCCATCTCTGTGGCATCACATCTCAGAATTTCTGAAAGTTATAGCTGTGTTATACAGAAACCATGCATAGCCAAAGCGAAAGGAGTTGGACAAGATCAATTACTGAATGTAAATCTATCAGTAAAATCATGGAAGCCAGGGACATTGCAGTCACTATCCAACTCAATGCGTGAAGTGGCACGGAGTGTTGCCTCCACTGGATTATTTGCTGTAGTCTATGGCAACATAAATATGATGTTGTATGTTGCAGAGCAAGCTGTAGGCAGAAATGGTAAACACCAATGTATGTCATGTGTACGAGTCCACTGAATGTCTTCAGATTCACAGGAAAATGGAACATGTGCCTCAAAAGATGATATGAAACTTACCAACTGTGAAAAATTGTTCAATAATGCAAGATCATTATCATTCAAAGATGTCATTCTCAACTAATCAGAAAGGACACATTTCCGATGGTGTCTAATCCATTGTGTCCTTCACATAATTGTGGTTCATGGTTGTGAGCACTTCTATCAGTTTTGCTGACAACTTGAAGACTCACAGCCGATGACCAATAATAAAAATGAGGTGCACAAAATATCACTTTGCCCTCTTCCAGCGATGAACATTGATGAATCCACTATTGTTGGCAATGGTGAGGTTGTTGAGGCAATCATGTCCGAACAAAGGATTGAGGCAAAGGATCCCATTCACAATAGCAAAGTCAAGATCTTTGCAGGCGACCAATTATCTATTGCACACTTATGGACACTTGCAAATATTCAAGCTGGTCAAGAAGGAGGCTTTGCAAGTATTGGTTGGGGCATGTGGATGCCAGGGCTATTCCATGCAAAAATGGCTGATATGCATGTGTTCAAATGAAAACTTCTGGGAAGTGTCTAGCCACTTGCTGAGAGCTAACAGGGACAGAACTAGAGTCCAGTATGAGTAACTAAAGAATAGGAATACTGGACTCTGCAATACTAGTCCAAAGTTTTGTAAACAAAGGTAAACAAATTAGCCACAAAGGCTATACAATGCTCAGTGAATAATGAACAATAGAGCAAAAGGAATAAAGAGGAAAGTGTTTTAGAAAGAAGGGAAAATAGATAGCACAACTGTTACAATTGACATACCAGCACCTACTTACACTTCACTTTTTGTACTTTTACTTTTACTTTTTCCAAGTCACATGACCAGTCATGTGACCATTTACTTTACTTTACATTTTCGGACTTTTCATAGTCACATGACCAGTCATGTGACACATCATCTGACCAGTGTCTAGGCTCACCATGTAACTAGTCACATGCTAAACATCGGACTTTAAACTTTATTTACAACTGTACAGTACCTCATGTATTTTAGTATATATACAGGAGCATTATATGGGGAAGGACTCAGCAAATCCTCCTGTTGTCTACCAACAACTAACTCAATCACATCTTAATGGGTAACCACTCCCTCTTCTTCCTTTTCTTCTGAGTGTTGTTTTCATTGTACTTCAGTGCCCCAAGACTGTGTCTTGTAGTTGTTGTCACAACAACTAGGTGCAGAATCACCAAAACTAACAACATGGCCTTCTTATTATGCACTGGGGTAAGCCAAATTCTGGCACAAGAAATCCCGGATCTCTATGGTTCCATAACACTCCATCAGGAAAAATGGGGGTAGCTATATAGAGCTCTATAGCACTATAAGTACTCATAAAGCTTTTATAGTGGTTAAACCTGTTATGGAACCTCTGCCATCTATAGAGCCTCATATAGCTCTATAAATGCTCTTATAGATGTTGGAAATTATTGTGTGGCTGATAAAAAAAAATTAACACAGACAGAATTTGAACTCTCAACCTCCTAGTCAGCTCTTGGGTGACTAAGCAACCTATAGCCACACATCACATTTATCCACGACACCATGAGAGCTTATAAATATATTATACAGGTGTTATATATTAAACTTTCATGGACTTAGATTATTTTTTTACTCATTGTCACTCCTGATATTTGGATAAATCATTGTTCTTATTTTTATATATATCAAAGATACAAACTACTATTTCACTAATACAGACTACATAATTGATTAATACTGTATGATTTATTAGCCTTTTCAAGCACCTTGAACTATATTATAACTATGACCTTTACAGCTATAGGAGCTATGTAGGCTGCTATAGGCTATAAAAGCACTTATAGTACCTTGCCTATAATAATATACTTGACTCCAAACACTTCTGGCCTCTTTCTATTATTGAACAAGTTTATTAGATTAATTCAGAGTTTGAGGGAATTATAGATACTTCTCCCCTTGGTTAAATTTTTGCCTTTCACTGTGCTATAAGAGCTATAAGAGCTATGATTGCACTGATAGTACTATAGTTTCTATGAATTCATTTATATATATAGGTAGTGGCTATATAGTGCTATATAGCAAAAGGGTTTTTCCTGATGTTGCCTCCACCGCCGTCTCATAACACTCACCTCTTTTCCACCATTCCAAATGTGCAGGGATTTGGTATTTGTGTCTTTATATGCATGTGTTCTATATTGCCTATTCTTGGTCAGTTCAGTAACCTCACTCAAAGGTTGTTCCAAGGCCATCACACCATGGGAGACGCTCAAGATCATGCAGGAACAATTGTGGACAAGTATACTGATAATGAGCTGGTTGCAGTTTTGCAAGAGCAATAAGAACATGCCCAGGGCAATAACATACAAGCAGGTGATATGGTATTTGAAAATGCTGTGCTTTTTTTTTGTGATGTTATTATTTCAAGGGAGATGACAGACGCAGTCAAGGATGGAGATTTAGGTCGGGTGATAATAGCCCTCAGTTACCGAGGCACAGGCTGCTCAAAATATGCATATGAGATGCTGTATCCAATACACAACTTGTCATGTGTTTGGCCAGACAGCGTAGTGTATATAGCATTACTTCTTCATGGGAAACTTGTTTAACCTTATGATGCTTGGCAGAAAACTGGTTCTCAGTAACTGGCTGGTGAATCCAACAGGGAAACAGAATAGCTTTGTTGAAGTGGACTTAATGCAAGAGCATATGAACTGTTGGATAAAGGTATGTGATTTTACAGTGTAACTCAGAACAACAGTAAACTAAAGAAGGTTTTTGCAAATAAATTTTACCGAGCCCATGGCAGCTCTGCATCATGGGAGTGATTAAAAATGGTAGCACCATGTGTTAACATCCTTCGGCATCTGTCAGAAACAATGAGTTCACTCCTTGGAACAAAACAAGGACTAACACATGAGCCGTTGGACTTAACAAGAGACATCCTAGTACCCATGTCAAGTCTCATAGACCCTGAAGTATATTCTATTACGCATGGACGACAGCTTGATGAGGGTGATTTACCAGTGCTGGATGTCACAACCATTGGTCTTCAGCAACTCACAGACGCAACAAACAACCCAATTGAGGAGTACAATAAGGTCTTTAAAAGACTTCAGGCTCGTTGGAAATTACAGCCAGCCATAGGACCTGGAAGCACACAGCCTATATCTGCACCAGTTGCGGATACTGAAGCAACAATGACACCAGTTATGAATGACTTACCAGGAGAATCCAGTACAGTGGTTACTGAAGGAATTGCAGGAGATGAGGACACAGATATGGAGGAAGAGGAGGAAGAGGGAGATTGTGAGCACTCAGCCAGGGAAGATGAGAGAGAAGAGACACTCACACTTGAAGGGCCAGAGGATATTTTACTTAATATGGATACAGAGGATATGGGTGGTGTCAACATGTACAAGGAAAGCAAAGAAGGAGATGAGATAGATATTGATATTGACACAAATACCAGTTCCAGTGATTGTGAAATGTAATACTCAAAAGAATATCTGTTTTTCAAAAATGAACTTATTATTGTTGGATAAAAAGCTATATACATGGCCTGAGGTGTAACTAGATTCACTCAAGCAAACATAGATTATTTCACCAAATTTTGGCTAAGTCCCTTATCATGCTTGGCAGTAAACAACTGTGACCTGCCGTTGTGATGTCCATGTTTCCCAGTCCGTTTGCAAGCTCACAAAATTGTTAATGAGTTGAGCTTACATACACAACTGGTCACAAGTCTAGAGTTTACCGAAGAATTCAAGCCAAGCTTAGCCACTGTGAAACCCACAAAAGGGCATTATCACTGGATAAGTGCGTGAATAATGACTATCAGAAACCAGTTGAAAACTGGTGATTCGGAATTACAGGTGATTACGCGGTGATTCCGGAATCACCAGCTTACTAGTCATTATCACCTATCCTTGATGATTTGAGGTTAAGTTGCTGATAGATTAGTATGGAATATCCTGCCTTCATTATGACCTTTGAACCAAGTGATTTTCACCACTGTGAACCAGGACACAAGCTGAACTCAAAAGCTAGTTTTTTTTGAGTGATTTGAGAAATACCCTAGTCTTTACAAATCATATTATTATATTATAATGATATCATAATACATCATTGGTCTGGTCCATAATACTGTAAATTGCCTGAGCAAGGCCACCACTACAGTCAATCGGAGCTCATTTATTATCAACTGGGATCCTTCCAACAACACACTGGATGCAAATTATGTTTAGGACAATCATTGATCCTAGTTTTGAATAATAACCATTATTGGGCGAGTTGTGGCATTCTAGTTTACAGGGCTGTATAGCAGCAAGAATGACTACAGTAGGTTGGTTCATTGAGCTTGAGGGGGGCAGAGACAGGAAGTTCTATGACAATAATATGCTGCTGCTTCCCAAAGTATGTTTTCATTTCGTAACTTGGCAATTTGTCATGCTGATGCGCATATTTATCAACTAGGCCTTCAACCTTGAATGGGTTTCAAAATGGTAAGTAAATTTTAAAAGTGTGGGACGAACATGACTTACCCATATAAATGTGAAATCACTTCTATTGCTCTGTGCTTTTGCAAATGCTGCAGCAACCATGGTATCCCCCCCTTCTAATTGCTTAACTTTCCCCCACTGCTCAACCTTATCCATCAATCCATGGCTTTGTAAGGTTAATACTATTGTATCAAGTTGTGTAACCAGTGCTGCCAGCACCTTATTGAACAAAGTAAATCCTAGTGGATTCTTTGAATGAGGAGGCAGGAGTACATATGTAGGGTCTGCAGATTTGTCAAAGAGTCATCTAATCAACTAAGCAAAGGAAATGTACACAAGGAGTGAGTGTCGTTGTGCTGAAGTCAATTCTGCCTTGCATTCTTCACCTACCACTGCCAATAGCACCTGCACCCATTGTAACTGCCATCATTGCAACCAATCCAGTACCTCTACTTGCGTTCAGTGTGATTTCTGTGGTTTACTTGGTCATACCCAGGATAAATGCCACAGATACATTATCGGTCGCAAACAGGCAGTGGAAGGTGCTCAGAACCACTACAAGCATGGCAACAAGGCTCAGGCAGGCTCCAGCAACACTCAGAATACCTCTCAGCAACCCAAATCTTTGCCCAACAATGCCAATTCCACTACTGTGGTCACTAAATCAGCTGGAAATGCAAGTCTTTGTTCCATTCATCCCTCTGATCCTCACTGCCCTCTCCAACTTGATGCTCAAATTGATTGGAATGCAGACACAGGCACCACTTTTCATATGACACCTTATGTAATAACCAAGAGTTAGTTACTCTGGCGCACACAGAAACACACTATAAGGAAGATGATGAGGGAGTGGTTACGCCTTTAGGCTGCAGAGAGTTTGTTGGTTAACAACAGGAGGACTCGCTGAGGAGTCTCCTGGATCTATTGGGGTATATATACTACTACAGGGTTATTTGTACATATGTACTATACAGTTGATAGCGACAGTGGCTGATGATGTTATGGGGCCTAGCCTGCATGGCCAGCTCCACTGTGTGAGAGAGTTGTCTCTATAATAAGAAGAAAGGCAACGCGGCGCGAGAAAGAGGAGTTTGGACAAAAAGGGGAAGTGCCGCGTGGCACCATGTGTGAAAGCTAAAGTACAAGGTTAAAGCGGAGAATAAAAGTAAAGAGAAGGTCCGAAAATTGTGTTATCGTAACACCTTATCGTCATTGGGTGCACCACTATACCCCATATTGTGTGCCAAGCTGGTTTGGTACTGTGGTGTTTAATCCTGTGATCAATGGCAAAGTGGCAAGGGCTGTGGAATTCTCTAGAGTGCTCCATGTACCAGATCTTCGAAATAATCTCCTCTCAGTCTTGTATTTAACTCATCAAAGTGGTTTCAACGTCACCATTTTGTCTCATTGCATGTCCTTTATGCATGACAACACTGTATTATTTACTGCAGCTATCAATGACAACAATGCAGCATTCCTTGATGGATCTACTGCAGCTTGCGTTGAATTGGGATATTTTACTGTGACTATACCACTTGATTTGACACTCTGGCATTGCAGATTGGCTCACCACCATCATGCTGATGTCAAGAAACTGATACAGAGAGATCTGGAACAGGTGTCACACTGATGCAGTGGCCCATGCCACTCCCTTTGAGTTGTGGTATGGACGCAAGCCTGACATGTCTCACCTTTGCGTTTGGGGCTGCACTGCCTATGTGCATGTGCAAAAGGACAAGAGAGGTGTCTTTGGCTCTCATATGGAGAAATGTGTGTTTATTGGTTACCCTGAGGGTTTTAAGGGATGGAAATTCTACAATCCTACCACCAAGTGCACCATTATCTCTGACAGAGCTGATTTTGATGAGCGCTACTTCCCTGGCTTGAAAAGGTCTTCTGACAATATCCCACCTCCACCCCCTACTCCACCTTCACTATCCATGCCATTGGGCCTGAATGAGAATGTCCCTGCACCAGGTCCAGGGGGAGATATTGGCCCACCAGCTGTACTTCAGTATCCTCAGCACTTACCTGATAATGGGCTTGATTATGTCTCCCAAGACTTCCAATATTGCTGCTTTGATGAAGGACATTCCCTACCTTGCTACTGTCACTGTGGGGATCGACTTATAATAGCTAGACTTGCAGTGTGATCTTACAGTGATTTATTTGTAAAAATATACCAATTATATCTAAGAAAAATATGAAGTAAAATTTTAAAATATAATCCCTAATATCATTTGCCTGTCCTCACAGCTTTGAGTCTGGAATTTTTAGTAAAATAATTGTACTACTGTCTCATATATTATATGAAAAATACTTACAAAATAATCATGCTCAAGGCACGCAACATAAAGAGAATATTTTGTAGATAATATTTATAAAATTATCCAAGGATCCACTCTAAATTGCATTATCATTGATCCTAAGCATTTATTATGAAACATTTCAAACTCATATCTTCCTTATATTCAACCCTTGTCCACAGGATTTTTTTGAAATTATTTCTAATTATCTTCCAGACTGTTTTCATCCTTGAACTGCAGCTTTGATTGTGAATCAAAGCTGCAGTCCAATGATGAACATGTTACATGTGACATAATTCCTTGTGTGACTATTTTCCTGAAATTTGATTGAATCCTGCCAGCTGAGTTGTTCTGAGTCTTAAATGTTTGTTGCCATTACACCATCATCATGGTGCCCAGTGAAAAGTCACAAATGTAAATATGTACCATACTTTAGGCGGCCACTCATGATAGATGCACTGTAGGAGCTCCAGGACTTCAATAGTATACTTAGAATTACCGCCTCCAGCAAACCGGTATAATAAATGAGGCAGGGAGTCTTGCATAATGCCAACATTGCTGTTTTGAATGGTGTCCGTCACACCGAGGTATCACAACACATCGCAATTCCAAAGGATAGCTTGTCGGGGTCTTGCTTTTCAGTTGATTCCAGCAGCATGTCTTCCAGCAAGTCACTGGAGGACATCTTTGTAAGAATGATTTTGGCCATATTTTGTAATTGGGCGGGGGATTTTGTACGAAGATCTGTGAGCTTGTTAACATTGCCAACATGTGCGGAAATGTGCTTTGGCAACGTGGCAAATGGCCTCGTGAAGGTTTTGATGGAAGGGTCCTTTGGTCTGTACATAGCTAAGTTGTTTCCTCTCGAGCAGCATAAAAGTGTGCATGAGTCCACACCCTGCACTAGTACCTAGGTATTGTTTGTGGATTGAGTTTGTGAACACCATCTGTAGATGGAACCATCCAAAGATGGGGATCATTCAATCCATGCGATCAAATGAATTGTGGTCTTCAGCACGGAGCCATTCAACAGCGAGCTGGTCACCAACCCAAGGTATAACACAATTGAGTCTGGTCATCTGTTGTTCATGTTGGGAGTTGAGGCCAAGTTTCTTGAACCACTCGGTCAGTAGTTTGTTGTTGCCTTTGTAGCTGGCTTCTTCAATGTGAACTGTGCCGAGCATATACTGTTCTGTGATATATGCTTCCCCAGAGGGAAGCATATGAACGGGTTTTGGCGGCGTAAAGACAGAGGAAGATTGTTCCTTGTACATTGTGAATCCAAACTCAGGCACCTGTGAAAGATAGCACTTGCACTAGATCACGCTGATGGCAAGAGGGAGCAGCCTGGCGCTCAAGTTGTTGTATTTGCTTTAACGTGAGAGGCGTCTTGTGTCCATTGGCTTGGTGCTCTTGTAAAGTATGGTTGCAAAGTGGCTTGATGGGCGGGGCATTGGGCAGGAAATACACTGTTGTAGCTGTACCACTATCAAATTGACTGTGGTTGTCAACTCGCTGCAAATATACTCGGAAGGGGATGTTGAGATTGGTGGGATATGATGAATGGCATTTGCTTGATTTGCTTCCGTACTTTCCCCATCTGGTTGGCGAAAATGGCACTGAATGCATGGGTTGTCCACCAGTGGCTCATGATGACACACAGAGTGCAAAGGAGGTCAAGGCTTTAGGCGGCTATGCCTTTTGAGCGAAGAAATGTGGTAAGAAGTTTTGCCCATTGGTTGTGGTGGTGTGAACAAGAAAACATAATTTGGAAAATTATCAAAATAATGACCTGTATATCATGAGTTGACAGGAGTAAGAGAAAGTTTTGATACTTACCAGGTCAGTGCTCTGCTTTGTGTTGCGTTTTTCCTGGGCCTTGGTCCTTGTTAGACGCTGTAGTAGTTTCCATAGCACGGGTGTGCCATCAAAGACCAGGGCTTTGAAGCTTGAGGACGAGGTCTTCAATGAAGAGGCTGGTAAGGCCCCCTCCTCAAAGACATCTTCAAGAGGGCATTTTGCAAGGTCCTGAATCCTCTGCAACTTGTCATCAAGCACCTCTCCTACTTAACCAAATTAACACTCCTCCAGGACTGCCTTTGCTCCACTTGCCCGTGCGTTGTGTGCCATGTGTGTGCGGTGGCTTGGACCAACATTTCAATATCTCGGGTAATTTTTTGCTGACCATGAGGTTTGTCCGTTCGTAGCAAATCTTGGGGTCTGTAGTACACTCGTGGTCTCCTCAGCTTAGATAATTGAGAAATGAAGAGAGGTTGAGGCCAAGAGAAGATATGTAGTTTAGAATTGCTTGAATTTTGAGGACAGGACTGCTGTGGAATTTGCTCTTGAGGTATGCCATGTGTTGCACCTGAATTGGCAGGTGGGGAGGGTCCTTGGAATCACTGTTGCAGTCTGTGTCAGTAGAATTAGACAATGTATGTACACTACTGCGTGCCAAAGGTGTGAAGGGGTTGTCTTCGTCGTCGAAATGCCCGCCAGTCACAGTAGTATTAATCTCACAGTCCATCATGTCGGTCATGGTAGAAGATAAGATAATAAATCTATTTTTACACTACATTACAAGTGCTCGGCTAATTGAGCATGACTCAATGCACTCGGCCCATATCAAATGTCCCCAGACGCTAGCGCGCGGAGTGCTAGCTCTGGGTTCGAGACTAAAGAAATTCTCGACATTGCGGGTTCTATTTCGACTGTATGCCCCCATGCCCCCATGCCCGATTTCACCTAGTCTCCCTTGCTTACCTAATTCAATATATGATAAGTCAATATCTTGTAAATAAGGTCTGCACCAAAGTAAGACCATTTGGCGTGAACCCCCCCTTCGGAGCCAATAACACGAATATTGAGCTCTTTTGCACCTCAATTTTAAATTCAACCGCTCCGATTGAATATAGCCTAGCATCACAGTAAAGGCTAGCTATTGTTTCAGCCAGCGTAACTCACCACTTAGCCTCCGTGTGAACCGGTAGAGTTGATAGTGAAGCTCTCAGGTCACAAACAACACTAGTTTCATATTTTTCTTCCATCTCAAACAGATGCTGAGCCATTGAGATAGTGAAACTGTCAGCCACTCCAATTAAAACGCCGCTACAAATTGCAGACACACCTGAACCAAAATGTGGGCAAGAAGAAATGGGATATTCAGAGTCATATAGGTTCAAGGTGCTACATAATTGTCGTAGTTGTGATACAATAGTAGGGATCAAATACATAACATTTGTTCTCTACAGTAGCTGTTTCAGCTGAAACCTTTATGTGCTTTTTCCTGGTGTGACTAGCCACAAAATGCCGAGTTCAAGCCGAATGTGCCGCTCATGGTGCCTTCTCTATTACTACCGAAGCGGGGGTTCCTGCCAAAGGTCCTTACTTCGGACCAGACTAGATTTCACCGTCATCTCCCCGGCCGGTAACTTAGGGCCTGTTCGGCAGCCACCGGGGTTGCCGTCCAGGTGCTGCAGTGCAATATTTGTGACAATAATTTAGACATTGGTACGATCAGTCTGGCCAGGTTTGGTGGTAAATTATTTTCAGGCTTGGACGGGTCAAACAAGTCAAGTCGATGATTGAAAGAAAGGCACTAGTGCAGTCCCAAAAACCAGAAGAAAACCGTGTATGAATAGTCATCTACGTAGTCCGGGTATGTATCGGTGCATAGGATAGGTCAATGTGCGGTGGTCACGCTAGTATACTTTGCCGTCCAATACTCGACTGCAGACCCACTGCTATTTGGGTCTGTGAGAGATGGTAATGCAGCAGGCTGGTATGTAGACTCCTGAGGAGGGGAAGGCAGAGGATTGGAAGGCCGAGAGGACATGTGCTCTATCAACGATTCTTTGGAAGGGAAGGTGAAAGAATCTGGTAAAGATTTGTAAGTTGCGGAGTAGTCATGAAGTGAAGACGAAGGCCGTGCAGGCTGTCCGCACGGAGGTACAATAATCATCGGAGGCGGCACAGAAGGCATGTTGGCATAAAAGACGGTCGCAGGGATAGGATGGGCTTGAAAAGGCGTTTGCACCACGTAAGACGTGTGACTAGAGCCATGACCCACGCTGCGCGTGGATATGTTATCTCTGGCCGATTCGCTGTAGGGTAGAAAGTGTCTGGAATCCCTCGTGCTAGGGGGCGTGTTTATCACACTGACCTCAGGCGCACCATGATACATAGTGCGCCCCTTCCATAAGCGGTCCATTTCCCAAATTTCACGGGCCCTGAGAGCGTTGATATCTGCAGCAGATAATTCGGATGTGGGCCGAGCTGACGTAGAAGGAAAATGTTCAACATGAGATACAACATTTGGAATAGGGAAAGTAAGTTGATATCTGCTACCACTGTGTGCAGACCGTTGTCGACTCCCTTCACGCTGTGTGTCATTGCCCTTATTGCGGTTTGTCGTGTCTCCGTGATATGAAGACATGACAGGTTGAGCAATACCAGGGCGGGGCGGCACATCAAGGCTACGAGCACGAGAAGGTCTGATCGAAGGAAATTCCGCTGACGAATATTCGACATGGTCCCCATTCACAGGTGTTTTTTGAGCTTGACTGAATGTTCTACGCTGGTAGTCTGCAGGACTATCAGCAGCGAATGTGCCTAGCCGCTTACGTTCTTTCCTGCCACTTTCGCGATCACTTGCTTTTTTGGAGATCCTCTCTCCCTTTTCTACTTTGTTGGTTTTACTTCGACGGGGAGCCTGCACAGAATTGACGACAGCCCATTGTTCACCGTTATTTATGATAGTATCACCTAAAGCTGAAATATGGTCAGACGGTGTCCGCACGAGTTTAAAGGTCTCCGTCTTTCTACTAGCGAGAGAACTCGACTTTGCTATTCGAGGGTCACGTTCGCTTCCCGCATGCATAGTCGGAGAGGTATCACGAGCAGGCAACCTCTCATCGGGCCAATTAGCAGGAGGCTTATCTACCGTTGTTGACGGCAAGTCAGCACCTGCCCCGGGAGAATGATATGGTGTGGGCGGGTTCGCTAGCACAGAGGCTTTAGACAAAGGGGAGTCATCCGCCAAGGGGGAGAATGCTGCAACCATCCCAGATGACAATTGCTGGGCCAGAAATACTTTGCCTCCCTCACTTTGCTTGGAGGGAGTCGCAGGCTTGAGAGATAACACCGGTGCCTGTTGCGTAACCGGACCGGGATGCAATGTTGTGGTGATTGGTTGCTGGTCAATGGCTGGACCAAGTCCAGCCTTAACGAATGTAGAAGACTGTATCTTTGATTTGAATGACAATCTATCCGTTCCCGCGACGGCAGGTTCTGAGATAGGCTGCTCAGAGCCAAGGACATGATCACTTGGTGGTTCTGTTGACCCAAGTACACAGTTAACCTGGTGTTCTGGTGGTAAAGATGCGAGCGATTTAACTGAAGTTGTACCAACAGAGCTGGGTGCATCAGGATTCGCAATGGTCAATTTACCGATAGAATAAGGTGCCTCGAACGAGATGGACGACCTGGGATCATAAAAGACATGACTCGTCTCCAATTCGTGAACACCAGCCTCAAGATGTACCATGTCTGAAGCTACACGAGGAGGCGGAACGCGTCTCACGGAGTCCATGGGCTTCTTCTCTGTAATTAGCTTCTCTGACGAAGCCTGCCACTGGAAGATGGTCGAGTCACGATTATCACTTTGGGGCATCCTAGAAGCATCTACATGGTCCAATTCATCTTCGATTATATCCCTTGTATCCATGTACGAACCTTGAGAAGATTTCTTCAGGACGCTGAATTTCCTCGCCAGTCGTCCCAAAACACTTTCACGCCTCTCCTGCTTATTCATAGAAGAACTGCGCGATAGAGCTGATGTGGAAGCATTTGGGAGGAGCAGCGTTGAATATGGTAAAGCAGAATGGCGCTTCGACACTGCGCTACCGCTCTGTAACCCATCGGGCAGCATCGATTGTTGGGACGTTCGCAAAGGGGGATCAACCTGTGTGATGGGTGCTGGAGCATGAAGTGGTGTATTGACATCAAGACGTTGCGTGTATCCGCCAAAGAGCCCACCTAACACAGGTTTACGACGTTTGCTGAGTTTACGTGAAACATGAACTGTATCAGAAGCTTGCAGGTGGAGAGCAGAGGTAGATTGTGACAAAGGGGAAGGGGTGACGGTTTTTCGACGACTCTGCGTGGTAGTCATACTAGATAGACGGGAACGACACTTGGTAATACCCTGCAGATATGAGTCTGAGAGGTGACTGACAGAAACAGGTTATAGAGCGCTTGCCTCTGAAGTATCTACTGAGATCGGGCTTGTATTGGAGCCTGCATCGTATGGTGACTGGTGGTGCCAGTGAGTACCCCAGGGATCTGAAACATCAAGCATATCGACGTTGTCCTGGGAAGTCTTGCGACTGCGAGATATTCTTTCAATGTCCGGTATACGTACTTGGGAAGAACTGGGGGTTGGGAGAGGAGATCCAGACGGAGTTTTACTTGGATCAGGAACTCGCGTCGTCTCTTCTGAGGGGTCATGAGAAATGGCTGAGGCCATGGGAGGAAAAGAAGGAGAGAAAAAGGAAGGTGGCCGATTTCCAGGATTGAGCTGAGCAGGAGGAATAAGGTGGTGATTTTTGTACCATCTAGGGCCTAGAGGATTATGAAGGGGATATTTGATTCTGTAGGTGGACATATTGGCGGCAGCCATGTCAGACTCCTTCTTGAACCAAGCAGGGAGTTCGCCCAAAGGATCTGGAATGATTGAGCGAGACAGAATGGAATGGAGGGTGTCAGACAACTCTGGCTGGCCGTTCAGACTGTCTTCCGGATCAACGATTTGTTGAGAGTCATCCATGCAGGTAGACTTGGCCGTGACAATAGGACCAGACTCTGGGGACTTCTTTGTAGATTTTCGAGACCATAAAGACCTTATTGTATTCTTGGAAGACTTGCGGGCAATCTTGCGTTGGACTATTTGTTTTCCTTGCATATGTGAGAGAATAGCGTTGAGGTCATCTGGCAAAGGTTTTGTGCCAACCATTGCGTTTTCTTGGCTCTGGAAACGTAAGTCTCGCGTGTATTTTGGATGGAATTGGCGCCGGCTACTAGTTGATTGCAAATCAAACTGCTGAGGGGCAGGCCAAAGTACAAACAACACTTGTTTATCCTTTGATTGCAACAAGAAAAAACTACATTCTAGCAGTTGTATATACCTAGTTTACTCGTCCACTGTAGTCCTGAAAACAGGTGGTAATCATTTGGTTGAGCACCTCAATCATCATCATAAACTAGAACAGTCTGCAAGACAGAAAAACCGTGCTAGTGGTTACACCTCACATATGGAAAATTACAAATAAAACATTAAATTTCGCATCAGCATTTTGATTACATGAAAGAAAGAATGTTGAGCAACTTCACCTAAATACTAATCAAAACATTGAATTTTCATGAAAATTTCATTGTTATTGAAGAGCAGTCAGAATATTTAATTTAGTCAATGTACTATTGTTGGACACTGGATGCAACCGGTAAGAGATATGCACTTGGGCCTCCAGAGGCTCAACAATCACTGTACAGGTAGCTAGAAAATTGTCAGATGTAGAATAGAGTATAGAGAATATAACTGTGAAAGAATTCAGTGAATAGCTTATCTGTAGCAACAACGACAGACCTGGCACTACGCTCTTGAACTCTAGAAGTGTGAATTTTGAGGGAAAGATGGCCATATTTGGATAGATCTCGTGCTGTGAATATTGCAATATCTTTCTAGGAAACGTCAATAGGTAGGCCCCTACAATGCCAGATACTTACTGAGCTGATTGGGGCCTCAAAGCATCTGGAGAAATGGATATAATGATGAAGTGTGGCAAAAGTGTGGCTTTTACCCCAAAGGTTGTGGGAACGTTTTACACAGAGTGTTCACTGTTGTAAAGTCTCTGTATTTCAACGTGTCTCCCTTCCTTCAACACACAGGTCCCTTATACTACAAAAACTTCACTAGAACAAACATAGGTAAACAAATGGTGTGACAAGTGGCTCGAAGGAGTGGGGTATTCAACGCATGGCGAAGAACGAGAAAATGGTCAAACAAAAGATGGTAAATTTTGCGGTGATGTCCGAGAGGCTACATTCCCCCCACCAGGACTTGTTCTCAAGTTCTACAACCTCACTGACACTGCTTGCCCTTCCCCTTAGGTTCTGGCAATCCCATCATGCTCTCAGCACTTGGGAATAAATCTGAGTCATCATTGTCGAGATCCTGATGGAGCTGGTTTGATGGGTGGGTAGAGGAGGTACCAGCGACAGACAACAACAGATTTCACTGGGGGTCAATGGTCATCGGTTGATGGAGGAGGGGTGAGTTGTCGAGTGAGTCAGGGTGGTAGGTGGCTCGTTCCACCTCCGTAGCTCGAGTCACACCGCTTTTGATTCGTGAGTGGTTGAGGTGTCTCTGTTTGGTGGGTACATTTGTCTAATACTCTTCCATCTCCGTCCTTTTCCTAATCCTTCCAGTGATAGACTGGGTCCTCTTCTCGCTGTGTTTCTTCAACCTCCTCAGCTCATTAAGCACTACATAATCCATAGTGTGCCTGTCCTCGTTATTAACTAGGCCACTACCTTGTGATAAAAGGGGGCTGCCCTCTTCCGGCTCCTTGCCAATGATACTATTGGCAGTTATGGAGGGGCCCGAAGTATGGACCATTCCATCTGCGCCAAGGGTGGCGAATTGTCCCGAGGCCAACGGGTCATGATTGAAGATCACCGCGAAGGTGTCATAACCCTGAGGGGATTGGCCATGAGTACGAGACCGGGATGATCAAAGAATTAAGTTATAGGTGACAAAGGAGCGGATTTGTCATGAGTGGACAGTAAGTTCTTGTTTAGGATCATTGGGGTCAATTAACAAAAAGTGCCTGTTCTTCAGGTGGTGCAGGTACTCAAGTTCAGGAAGCAACATTTCTGGGTAGTGGGTGACGGTGAATAAAGACAGTGGGAGCTTGAGCGGTGATCTTGAGCGAAGAGGAGGCAAGAGTTGTAAGTTTTTATGTTCAAGATCGCTAGCGAGGCCCATATGCACCGTGCTTAGCGTAATTTGGGGATCATCTGGGGGACCTTGGTTATCGGCAGAATCGGTAAGTTGGCCGATATTTTCAACGCCAACTGCATTAAGATATTCTTCCAGCACCCCAAATGATTCTATCATCTCAAAGGGCATCCAAGTGATGTTTCCAGCTTTCCACAATACCTTGAAGACCACATTCTCCCGACTCCCTTTGTGGTGAGTGATTTTATCAGTGGCCCATTGGCCTTCGCTAGCATTATGTTCACCCAGTTGTGAGTCCAGCCGTCCAGGGAACAAGCAATCATCACATGTACTCTCATTAAAGAAGAGTGGAAGACCGGGTGGATGCCCTGTTGCTTCATGCTCGGCGGCAAGTCCACTTCAAACGAATTATTCTTAAAGTCCCGAAGTAGGCGATATGGCCCTATAAACTTAGGGATCAATTTGCGAGCTAGGCCCTTCGGAAATGAGATGTTCTTTGTCAAAATGTAAGCTAATTCACCCTTGACGAACAGACTAATCTAATGTTTCTGGTTAGCATTACGGGTTTGCTTGATTTGCGCTTCCAATATAGATGTAACAACAAAGAGTTTGTTACTCTGGCGTACAACTCAGACAAGCTATAGAGAGAATGATGAGGGAGTGGTTACCCTTTAGGCTTCAACAAGTTAGTTGTGAGGATACAACAGGAGGACTCGCTGAGGAGTCTCCTTGATCTATTGGGGTATATATACTACTACAGGTTTGTTTGTACATATGTACTGTATAGTTGATAGAGGCAGTGGCTGATGATGTTGTGGGCACGGCCCATGTGACCAGCTCCACTGTGTGAGATACTTGTGGCTAAAATAAGAAGGAAGGCAGCGCAGCGCAAGAAAGAGGAGTTTGAGCAAAAAGGAAAGTGCCGCATGGCACAGGGTGTGAAAACTACAGTGTAAAGTTAAAGAGGAGAATGAAAATTAAAGGTCCAAAAATTGTGTATCGTAACACTACCCCCCTCCTAAGGCTCAACATCCAGGCTCGACCAAATACTGGAGGTAGTTGTTAAATTTTCGGGCATAGGTCGAAAAAGGGAATTAAAAAGGTTCAAATCCATGCCTCTAAGATTCCTAGGAGCCGAGGGATTCTTAGAATAAAATTTGCAAACAGCATCGCGGGAATTGTCCAGATGGGCTTCTGGTTCCCACATTCTGTCCTCGTCTCCATAGCCCTTCCATAGGACTAGAAACTCTAATTTTCCATGCTTCAAGCATGCATCCACCACTTGTTCGACCTCAACCTCTTCTTCACCTTCCTGGGTGACTACAACCAGTCCGGGCCGGCCTACGCTGTCCGTGCAGCAGTCCTTTGTAGGGTTTCACATGGCTAATATTGACCGTGGGTACTACCATCATTCATTTTGGGAGTTCCAGCTCCACTGCATTGGGTTTGACTTCCTTAATCCGGTAAGGACCAATCCACTTTTCGGTCAGTTTTCTAGACTGCCGATCTTTCAATTTTAAGTGGTTGGTATCTAACCAGACCAGGTCGCTGACCTTGTAGTCAGGGGCCTTAGAGCGTCTACACTCTGCCCTGTCTTTCATCTGCTCTGCAGCTTTGAATAGCGCCTTGCGCGTTTCATCTAAGATGGACATGTCTTTTGCCAAGTTCCCAGCAGCCTCGTTTTTGCTCTTGCCAGGTTCTACACCCATTCTGGGGAGGTACAATCTAGTAACCTCGAATGGTGCCTTTCCTGTAGCCAACGACTGTTTAATATTATATGAGAACTGGGCTATCTTTAGCCACTTGGCCCAATCTGTCTGTCTGTCATTAATAAATATACGGAGATATTGTTTCAACTCCTGGTTGAGTCTCTCCATTTGTCCATCAGTCTGCGGATGGAACACCATTGATAATTTAGGTTTGATGCCTAGCATCCGGCATAATTCTTTCATAAATTCGCTAGCGAATTGAGGTCCTCTGTCGGAGATAACCGTTTCTGGTAACCCATGGATAGACCATACAAAATCTTTAAATAAATATGCCGTACCAGCGGCGGTAATGGTTTTATTGGTAGGTATGAATACTACTTCTTTGGAGAAGCGATCCACTACCACCATTACTGAATCATACCCATTTGACTCGGGCAGATCCGTCGTGAAATCAACCGATATATCCTGCCAGGGACCAGCTGGTATCGGATTCGGCAAAAGTTTACCGGCCGGCGGTTGATGAGAATTCTTTGCCATGGCACATCTCAGACAGGATTTTACATATTCCTGTACGTCTTTGACCATGCCAGGCCACATGTAGTTTTTGGAGATCAACTCCATTGTTTGTTGCCACCCAGGGTGCCCAGCCACTGGAGTGTCGTGATGTCTATCTATTGCCTTGATCCTTGCGGACTCAGGCACATAGATTTTGTCTTTAAAATGGAAGAGCCCGTCTTTCCATAAATAGTTCTCATTGCCATCAAGACACACTTTCTCTTTTGAGGAGATGTCTTTCTTGGAGACTTCCAGAAGATCAGAATCCTGCCCGATTCTAACATTGGCAACCCTTGATTGGTCTATCAGGGTGACACCTTTGTTGTTATCTTCTATGCTGTTGGCATGATCCTCTCTTCTGGACAAAGTGTCCGCTTTCCCCATCAAAGTTCTAGGTTTATGAATTAATTTATAATCAAACCTAGACAAGTATACATCATAGCGGGCCTGTCTCCGGTTCAAATCTCGGGCCGTCATAGAATACTCCAGATTCTTATGATCGGTCCAAATTTCAAATTGGTGCCTAGCACCTTCTAAGTAGTGCCGCCAGTGCTCTAGAGCTCTAATGATGGCCAGCATCTCCTTATCATAGATTTGATAGTTGCGCTCTGTAGGCAACAAACTATGTGATAAATAGGCACAAGGCCTCCAAAGATTGTCAGGGCATTTAATTGACAAAACAGCCCCAGTAGCAAAATCAGAAGAGTAGGTTTCTAGCCGGAACTCTTTGTCTAATTTTGGAAATGTTAATATGGGCGCTGTTGTAAATGCCTGTTTAAGCTTATCAAAACCTTCTTGTTCTTTGGCGCCCCAATGCCAAACAATGTCCTTTTTAGTGAGATCGTTCAACGGTCTCGTTATTTTTGCCAAGTTTTCAACAAATCTTCGGTAGAAGTTGCCTAAGCCAAGGAAGGTCCATCCTGATTCTATTCTGGCCTATTATCATACCAAGGAAGTCTACTTCCTTTAATTTAAAATTACATTTTTCGGGTTTGACAAATAGGTCTCGTTCCTGTAAGCGTCGAAGGACTTCTTGCATGATCCTGTCATGCTCAGCCTCATTATCCGACTTCGTGAATATTAATAAATCGTCAATGTAAATGACAATACAGTTCTCCATATCCGCAAAGATCTTGTTCATCATGCTCTGGAAGGTCACCGGTGAATAGGTCAACCCAAAGAACATGACAAGGGGCTCAAATGATCCTCGGTGGCACGTGAACACGGCCTTCCAAGCATCTTCTTCTTTGATTTGTACGTTATTTGTTCAATTGAGAACTTCTGGGAAGTGTCTAGCCACTTGCTGACAGCTAACAGGGACAGAACTAGAGTCCAGTATGAGTAACTAAAGAATAGGAATACTGGACTCTGCAATACTAGTCCGAAGTTTTGTAAAGAAAGGTAAACAAATCAGCCACAAAGGCAAAATTATAGAATGCTCAGTGAATACTGAACAATAGAGCAAAAAAGAATAAGGAGGAAAGTGATTTAGAAAGAAGGGAAAATAGATAGCACAACTAGGTGCAGAATCACCAAAACTAACATTATTGTACCCCCATCTAAGATCCATCTTTGTCAAGATCTTGGCACCAGCCAATTTGTCTACTAGCTGACTGATCAAAGGCAGCGGATAAGCATTCTTAACCGTGTACTCATTCAAGTAACAATAGTCCATAATCATACACTTCTTACCATTCTTTTTAGGAATGAAGAACACCGGGGACATCATAGGGCTTTTGGAAGGTCTGATATAACCCTTCCTAAGCTGTTCATCTATGAAACTTGACACCTCATCTCTTTCTGGAGCAGAAAGTGGTATCATGTGTCCTTTTCTCGGTTTGAAGGTGTCCTATAAATCTATAGCATGGTCCCAAGGCTTAGCCTCTGGGAAGCACTCTGACTTATGTTTTGAAAAGACTTTCCAGAAGTCATGATACTTGGGAGGTACCAGCCTCTTAATCTCTTTCTCAGGTTTTACCTTGTCATTGTCATTGTCAATCTTTTCTAGAGATCTGAGCTCATAAATGTGACCAGCATTTATCTTTTCAAGATGCTCAGTTTGACAGACGCGACTCGGTTTACCCAAGTTTTTACACTCCTGAGGACAACGTGACAATGTGACAACCCCTGTCTGCCAGTTGATCTTGGGATTGTGTTTAAATAGCCAGGTCCAGCCTGAGATTAAATTAATCTTCCCTAGTTGGGTAGCTTCGGCGATGACTCGTTCTCTGTGTCCTTAGTACTCAACAACAAAAGAACATTTGTGCGTAATGCAGCCACCCACGTTAAGCGTACCATCAATGTTATAGACGGGAATAGATACATCTAATTTTGTAAGGGGGAGTCCAATTGGCTCCGCCCAGACCTGATCTATGAAGATGCCGTTAGCGCCTGAATCAAGCAGTGCGCTGGTTGGGTGTACTATGCCTCGGGCAAGGTTTTCCACGCCAATGTCTAAACAGATCTCCTTTTGGAATAAATATGTGTGCATCAACACACACCTTGGGATTTTGGGGAAGGGTGGCTCCAAAGAGGAAGATGAATTGAGAGAAACATGTTTTTCTTCTTTAATATTGCTTATGTTTTTATTTTTATTTTTACCAGAATCAAGCACCCTAGTGTTTGTCTCGCCGGGGCCATGCTCCAAGGGAGATACTGGTGCAGCGGTAGTATCATAAATCTTACAATCACAGTGCTTTATACAAGTACATACTTCTGATAACAAATTTAGAAATTTATTTACAAATTGGGGAGCCACCCCCGTCTTTCCTTTATTGCTCGTGCAACACCCCGGAGCAGGGGCTACCTTGTTGTGGTTTACTTCATTGTTCATAGGAGCAAAGGCACCCAAGTGAACTAAGCTTCGAACTCTTTTCCCTGAGTCTTCATTTGAGCGACCTGTTGGTCGTAGAAGAAGGCTTGGATTTTGTCGTACGAATGGCCGGCCAGAGCATTGAGCCAATTGTGCGCCCTTTATTATTTTTTTGTTGGGTGGCCTGCGCCCCATTTCTACAGTCTCGGGAAATGCGTCCCTCTTGACCGCAATTGTAGCAGCTGCCCTTGAATCTGTGCATCTGTCCTCCCTGGACCGTGCCAATATCTATAGGGGCTCCCTGCCCTGGTTGCAGCCTGAACGGCTTGAACCCATGAGAGTGATTGTGTTTTTGGTTTGATGACCCAGGGCTCCTCTGGAAAAAGTTATTTTTGGTGGTGGACCCGCCACCTTGATGCATAGCATAGAGCTCCATGGCTCTACCGACTCATCATACTTCCTCAGCTGCCAGGGCCAAGTTCCCGTTTCTGGTATCCTGCAGATAGATTTGTTACGCAATGCGGGGGTTCAAATTGTGTTCCAGCAGTTCTACTGCATGTTCATTTCCAAGCCCTCCTTGGATGGAGAGGGCCAGGAACCGGGTAACATAGTCATCCGTCCTCATGTTTCCCTGTTTGAAGGAACAGATTATTTGGCGAGCCCAGTCACGCTCAGCTTGCGGTTTAAAATATTTTTTGATCTCAACTTTGAGATTGTTCCAGACAGGCCACACTCCTGCGGTGTAGCACTCCTGCATTCTAAATTGGGCATATTGACCCGCCACAGATCCTTTTAGTCAAGATAGCACTGCCGTTGCTACCTCCAAATTATCAGCAAACACCTCCCAGTTTGCCTTGATCCAAATCTGGAGCTTAATCCACCATTCGGCAAATCTCGCTCTGTCTCCTTCGAAGGCGCCAGGATCAGCAATGACTTCAACTTTCTTATTGAACTTTTTCTCGACGGAGGGGGTTACTGCAGGGGGGTTTGCCTGGGGCTCGGCGAGTTGCATAGTTAACGCCAAGATCTGTGCACGCAACAGAGCATTGACATCAGGAGTTTGCGATGACATGTCGACTTGTTCTCTTTGGTAATGTAAAAAAGGTAACTGGGGGTCCCCGCTTGCTATCTGCGGATCTACCTCTTCCCAGCTGAGTATTGGATCTCAATCTCCGACTACCCACACTATAGTATTTGAAAATGTATATAAAAGGTAAACATAATAAACCCTGGTCCGAACAGTTGTCAGGGGGTGGTCCGCTTGTTAAGCTGTCAACCCTTCTCCAGACTGGTGGAGGCAAGTGCCCGGCCTGGTCAGAGGAAAGAGAAAGAGAAAGATTTATATGTAAATTTTAATCAACAGTGGTTCCACACCAACTGCTGAGCTAAGTACTCCCCTTAACACTGGGGGCCGTGCATCAAAATTATTGTCTCTTCTCCACCACAAGGCTGTTGCTAGGAGCGCACCTATCTGCTATGCGGGATATTCCCAAACAATAATACTATCCCCTTAACCCTGGGGTCCGGGTTTGCACAATGTGCAAGAGAGTAGAAAGAGCGAGTCCTAATGTAACAACCAAGAGTTTGTTACTCTGGCGCACAACTCAGACAAGCTATAGAGATGATGATGAGGGAGTGGTTACCCTTTAGGCTTCAACAAGTTAGTTGTGAGGATACAACAGGAGGACTCGCTGAGGAGTCTCCTTGATCTATTGGGGTATATATACTACTACAGGTTTGTTTGTACATATATACTATACAGTTGATGAAGGCAGTGGCTGATGATGTCGTGGGCACAGCCCGTGTGACCAGCTCCACTGTATGAGATACTTGTAGCTAAAATAAGAAGGAAGGCAGTGCAGCGCAAGAAAGAGGAGTTTGAACAAAAAGGAAAATGCCGCATGGCACAGGGTGTGAAAACTACAGTATAAAGTTAAAGAGGAGAATGAAAATTAAAGGTCCAAAAATTGTGTATCGTAACAATGAACTGACTGAGCTGGCAGTGTCACAATGGCGGGCACATCAGGCCGTTCAGTCTGCAGAGCTGCTTCTGCACGGGCCCGAGCCCAGGTTTGAGGCACCGAGGCCAAAGCCTCCAACCCTACCAGAACCGGAGCATTGATTAAGTGCAAAGGTAAGCTAGGCAGGACACTGTCATCCACATTGTACTGAACACATTCACTTCTGGACCATACAGTCCCTGGCGCATGAAATGAATACAGGCGGGACAAGGCATCTGGCAGAACATTGTCCACACCAGGTAAGTACCGGACTTCATAGTTAAATTCACCAATTTTCTCCATCCAACGCGCTTGCCGCCCTGACAGATTTTTCTGGCCTATAAAATGAATCAAGCCCTTGTGATCGGTTAGCCACACAAATTGGGCGCCCTGTAGAATATCGCAATGTCGGAGCATTGTCTCAACGCCTGCGAGGAGTTCTACCTCATGTACGAGGTATTTCTGCTGGGCAGCATTCAACTTTGTGGAGTAAAAGGCCGCAATACTAGCAGTCCGCCAGTCTGCACCCTGTGCTACTACCCCGGGGACGCCCTTCAAGCATCCGTCCGTCATCATCCAGATAGTTGGGCTGGCCTCCGTGTAAACCAAGGGGACACAACAGTGCTTTTGACAGGCCACTACATAACACTTAATAGTTTCAAAAGCTTGTTGTTCCGTGAAAGTCCACTTGAAAGGCACCGCATCACCTGAAACAGCAGACAAGACTCCCATTGGTATTCTGACTTTGTATATATGATCTGCCAAGTAACCAACTGAACCAAGGAATCCCTGTAACAGGTCTCTATTGGTAGGGGTTTTCCAATTCATCACGCTGGTCACCTTATCTGGGTCCATCCTAATGCCCGCATTGTCAACAATCCAGCCAAGGATTTTCATCTCATTACAAAGGGAGTGGAGCTTACTTTCGCTAAGATACAGCTTTTGCTCGTCTAGGATGCTCAGGATCAATTTGATGTGTCAAACATGTTCGTCCAAAGAGTGTGAATAGACTACAATGTCGTCAAGATAGACATCCATGACCACTCCAATATATTTTCCGAACAGGTGGTTCATGAGAGCCTGGTAAGTTGCAGAGCATTACAATCACCAATTTGAATGACTAAACTGACCATATTTCCGTCAGGTGTGGTCACCGTGGAGCGGTCCACATGTTGAGGAATAATCCTGATTTGCTTGTAAGCACCCTGTCCGTCTATGATAGAACAGTATTTCTTGTTAGCCACACGGTGTAGGATTCCTTCCATACTGGGCAGTGGAGAAAACAGCTTACGAGTATTCTTATTTTGTTCCCGTAAATCAATGACTGTCCGTAATTTATTTTCCAGAGCCAGGTTTTGGAATCAAGAGCATTGGTACTGTGTTGCCTGCACTTGTCACGTTCCATCTCCCTGTGGCAAGATATGCTTCCCGCTTTTCGGACCATTGAGCCTGCAGGGGCTCTGGGCATCTGGACGGTTGCCAAGGGTAGACTTTGTTCTCATCTTTGAGTGGAATCGAACGACTGATATCCTGTAAAGGAGGTAAGCCAGTCTCACTAGCTTTAGTGCATAGGGGGCAAGCATCCTCACGAAGTTCTGCTAAACCCTGGTCAATATCATCCTCCGTCAGACAGGTCCATGCAGCTTGAGCTGGGAACACATTTTTCCCTATAAAGGGAGAACCACATCACTTCCAAGGACAATGTGGGAGGAGGTAAACCCCACCATAACAAGATGCAGCCACAGAAAAGGAGTCCCGAGGATCAAGTCATAGTT